GTTTTGTGACCACAGCACTAAGAGATTTACCTTCGACCGTTTTAGAAACCAATTGAGCAATGTCAGGCCAAAGGAGATGGGGCCAATTCACATTAAGTTTCCCTTTAATACTCTCCCAAACTCGACTAGAGAAGGGACAATCAAAGAATAAATGGTTATGACCCTCATAAGGGTCATTAAACAAAACACACATAGAGGTTTGAGATATACAAAACAGCTTAAGCCTATCCCCTGTGTTTAATCTCCCCAAAATAGCCATCCAAGTAACCATGCTTGCCTTAGGGATATTATCAGCAACTTCTCTCAAGAAACTTTAGTAAAAGACTTCCTGAACCAATTCCAAGTTGAATTTATAGAAAACTTACCATTAGAAAACGGCACCCAAATAACAGTATCATAACCAGAGTTTGGAGTAAATGTAAGCGGGGTATGCTCAATCAACTCCTGTAAGAAGCTCCTCCTTCTCCTGGGCCAACTCCAAGAACGATTATTAACAATCCTACTAACCTTAGCATCCATCACAAAGGCAGTATCATAGCCAACTCTAGCACCAAACCTCGCCCACAAAGATCCAAGAGGATGCTAATTGTCAAACCACAAGAAAACATCATCCCCATTCCCAATTTTGTACAGAATCAAAGGGTAAATGACAGGACGAAGGGATGGAATTTTCCTCCAGACCCAAGAAAGGTCACTAGGCATTTTAACCCTCCATAGACTTTGACCTTTAAGTAAATAGGATTTCACCCACTGGCACCAGATAGACTGCTCTCCTTCGGAAAAAAGAAACACTTATCGATTTGATTCAACTATCTAATAAAACTGAAAACATTGTTAGTTTTTTTCCAGTTTTAAAACTAAGAATATTATTAGTTTTTTTTTTTTTCAGTTTTGCACATCAATGTTTCATCATCATACTCCTTTATAGATACAAAATTTTTAGTTTTGCACAAAAAAATAATTCAGCTTTTTCAAAAAAAAAATTAAAAAAGTTTTTTTTTTTTGCAAATAATTTTTTTTTTTTAGTTTTTTCAATTTGAAAGTTGATATTTTAAAATTTTGAAAATCAAAATAAATATCAAATCATCATGTTCCTTTATAGATAATCATAATTAATGAATAATCATTATTTGAAAGGCAATTCCGATTATTAAAAATTTAACGGGATTGGAAGATCTAAAAAATCTTAGCCTTCGTTTGGAATGTGGGTTGGCTTTTTTGTTTTTTTGGTTATTTTAGTCTGGGACTAAAAAATCTTATTTGGGATGAATTTTTTTGGTTTTTTTTTACTTTTATGAGAGAAAAAATAAAATTATTATGGTTTAAATGTGACATTTTGTCTTATTGGACTAAAAATCATATTTTGTCTTTTTATGATTAAAATAACCTTAACCCAACCCAAACTTTATGCCAAACGAACCCTTAATTAAAACTTAATAGAGTATAAGTTCATAAATTAAGATTTTGTGCGTAACTATTCCAATAAATATTCATCACAGACCACTCGATTCCAAATTTTGATGCAAGGATATTTTAATATTTCTGCATTTTTATATTGCTGTACTAATTTATATTATTTAGGGCAAATTACATATACACCCCTCCAGGTTTGGTTAAATTACAGATACCCCCCTGAGGTTTCGGAAATTACATCCCGCCCCCTGAGGTTTGTATTTTCATAACAATTTACCCCCTGAGGTTTATATTTCATAACAAATTACCCCCTAATTTCTTATGCAAATATAACATTCAGGGGGGAATTCGTAATTTCTCAAACCTCAGGGGGGTATCTGTAATTTTGTCAAACCTGGAGGGGTGTATATGTAATTTGCCCAATTATTTATAGTTGGGAGGGTGACAACTATCCTTGTATCCTACAGCTCCCTTATCATCCGTTGACACAAGTTAACTTGTTGGTTAAGAATCTCAATAATCTCACCAGGAGGTTAGGGATTTTAATTCTCGTTACTGTCATGTGGATATTTGCTCCTTATAGTTGTTTGGAAATTTTTATAATTATTATTTTTGTTATACGATTGTGATTATGTGTTAAACTTACTTCATAGTTAAATATTCAATTTAATGTAATTCAAGTAATAGTTATAAGGATAAATTATACCAACTATCTTTAGGGTTTAGAGAACATACAATAGTTCACACAGAGTTCTGGTCTTGTTACATTATTTTTCAGAGTCAATTGATCTCTCGATCAAATCCTAATTAAAAATATCTTAAGAGTAGAAAAACGAGAAAAAATAAGTTTTTCGAGTTTGGCATGAGGATAAATTATTCTTGATTTCCTTTTTAATAAGGCCAAAATAATTAGAATTAATATAATTGATTATAAACATATAGATAACCAGGGCATTTGTGTAACACCCTTTCGTGGTGTGAGGTTATGGGTTCAATTGCTATGAAGAGAAATTTAATACTCTTTGCAATAATTTATTTTTCCGTCATTATGTGAGTTGTATCTAATTAGTAGTGGCTGTGTTCGGCTTGGGCTAGATGGGCTTGGTTTATTGGTTGTGAGGTTTTGTTCACTTTCCAACTATTGTTATTGTGGCTAGTGGTCTTGTTTAATGATATAAATATTTTTTATATTTTTAATTACTTTTCTATCAGTTGATCAAAAAAAAAAAAATTTATAAACATAGATAGTAGCCCTGTTTGGTAGGGTTTATTTCTAACTTATTTCAGCTTTTAGCTTAATTTAAGTTATTTTGATATATTTGGTTTAACTTAACAATGCAGCTTATAGCTTTTTGTAAGTAAAAAATCAACTTATTCTTTGAGTGTGGGAGGAGAAGATTAATTTATAAGTCAAAAATTAGTTTATGTTCACAGTTATAAGCTATAAGCTGTTAAGGTATAAGCAATAATCACTTTTCCACAGCTCTACCAAACGGGGCTAGTATACAAAGCTATTTCCTAATCCTTATCCAAATTATTACCTAAATCTATGATCTAAATACAACCTATAAAATCTAATGAAATTATATCAAATTTATAAAATTCAATGTATTTTCTCTAAATATGAATACAAGTTAGTGTAATTTATTCTATTTATAATTTTTCTCCTACTGATTTGACCCAAAAAAATAGTAATTATCAAACTAAAAACAATGGCCTAACAAAAACAAAATTCAGTAAAATGAAAGAGGATAAGGTTCCGTTTGTTTCGTCGTAAAATATTTTACATAGAAAAAATATTTTTGTTTTTGTTTTCAATGTTTGATTGACACTTGAAACAAAAATATTTTATTACCTAAAAGAGAAATTTTAATTCAGTAAAATGTCATTTATGACTTTTTAGTGAGTTAATATATTTATTTGAAAAAGTTAAATGTGTTAAAAATGTAGTGAATAAAAGTCCAACTTTATAAAAATTAACTTAAAAGTAAGTCCTTTTTTAAAAAATGATACAAAAATATTTTACTTATTTTTATTCAATTAAATAACAAAAAAATAAGTAAAATTTTTGGGAAAATTATTGGAAACTCCCATTTTGGAGAGTTGTAGTCTACCAAGTCCCACTTTAAAATTAATAGACGTTCAAGTCCTATTTTTTTGGTAATGTGATCCAAAGGATCCCATTATGTAATTATGGAATGGTTTTTTGACTAATGTACCTTTTTTTTGTGGTTGAAACGTGTGGGTCATAAATAACGTGGACATCCCTACATACACTACTAAACCCAAAAAAAGTTATAGTAAGCTTTTCCCAAACATTACATACACCCACATCATAAATGTGCTTTTCCCAAACGTTATATATACCCACATCATAAAAAAGCTATAGTAAGCTTTTCCTAAATGTTACATACACCCACATCATAAATGTTTTCCCAAACGTTACATACACCTACATCATAAATGTGCTATAGTAAGCTTTTCCTAAACGTTATATACACCCACATCATAAATGTGTTTTTCCCAAACGTTACATACACCCATATCATAAAAAAGCTATAGTAAGTTTTTCCCAAACATTACATACACCCACATCATAAATGTGCTTTTCCCAAACGTTATATACACCCACATCATAAAAAAGTTATAGTAAGTTTTTTCCAACCGTTACATACACCCACATCATAAATGTTTTCCCAAACGTTACATACACCCACATCATAAATGTGCTATAGTAAGCTTTTCCTAAACTTTTCACAAACGTTACATACACCCACATCATAAAAAAGTTATAGTAAGCTTTTCCCAAACGTTACATACACCCACATCATTCAAACATAATATCACCAAGCCCAAAACAGTAAGTTCATGGGCAAAACTGTCCACCCCTAAATAATGGGACCTTTGGGTGTACAAAATTAAATATGAGACTGATTAGATTACAATCCCACCTTTTAGGATTCATGGGTCAATTCCACAAAATTTTTTAACAAAAATATTTCACGTCAAAATAAATTGAAAACTCTTCTGGTCAATTACCTATTATTGGGCGGCTCTATCAAAAAATTAAAAATACACCTTTTGAAATTTGCTTAAAATACAAATTATCTTCTGTAGTTTGAAAAATTACAAATACCTTCTTATTAGAATTTTTTATTTAACAGAATTAATTAAAAAAGTAAAATTTCTAACTGTTTATGTATATAATAATAAAATTATCTGAATTATTAATTGAAATAAAATTTTAACATTATTAAAAACTGTTAATTAACTTGATAGTTTATTAATAAAAGGACCTATTTGTTATGAAATTAGAAACTTTAGAAGACATAATATAATTTCTAAAACTATAGAGGATAATTTGTAATTTAAGTAAATCTCAATGATATATTTGTAATTTACCTAAAAATAATCTTAAAGCGATTTGTGTCTCTATCCAAACAGTGGAATTCAATGACTCCAATATTCAAACAACGCGTAAGCTGAATCGATACGAAGCACCCTCTCTCTCTCTCTCTCTCTCTCTCCCCCTCTCTCTCTCTCTCAACCAACCAACCAACCAACCAGTATAAATATTGCTGAATATGTATGTGTTTATTAACTACCAAAGCAAGCAAAATATATTAGAGAATTTAAAATATTATAAGCTTTAATGGCAATTTCTTACTCTGCAAAGTCTGTTCTAGCTACTTTTTTCATCTTCGCCATTGTTCTATCTCCATACTTACCATGTGATGCAGCCAAAGGTAAAAATCTCAACAACCACCCTAGATTTTTCAGCATATTTCATTTCATGTTGCAATACCCAAGGTTGGTTTAATAAAGATGCATCAATTAATGATATAAGTATTCTTTTATATTTGAATAATACTATATGTATTAATTGGTATATTAATTGGTGTTTTAACAGATGTTGTGATATAATTTTAGAGGTTTTAGTTCTTTATAGTTTATATAATGGGTAAAGTCATAATTTTAAAGTAAGAGTATCATACCATATGTTAGCACCACCATTTGTATTTTTAACCTTCAAGATTAGGGATGACAATTCTTTTCTTGTCCTAATCCCACATCATTAATATTTATTAATTTTTTTTTTGTATATAATATATATACATAATAAGATTAAAATTAAAACACTCATTTTTGTTGGAGTAAACAATGTTAAGATTTAATTGGTGTTTTGTGAGGTTTATGCATAGAAAAAAAATCAAGACTGGGGTAAAATTATGAGTAAAACTTCTAGATATATAATATTACTATTTTTATTTCTTTACTTCTTATCTATCTCTTTTTAGCTCTCATCACTTATCAATTATTATCTATAATATATCATATTATCTCTCACTTTATTAATACCATCATTTCTAATATTAAAAAAAATATCATATTCTAACTCATTGTCCCTATCACTTTCCCAATTCACATCACTTTCCGATATTATTTAAAATAGGAGACTACAAATCTGTCCTGCTCTGGGTTTATTTGGGAAGAAAAAACCCGGGTTTTTTTGGGCTATTTTAATCACAAAAAAAATAAAATAGGCGTTTTAATCCAGTAAGATAAAATATCACATTTAACTTATAATCATTATATTTTTTCTCTCACAAAAGTTAAAAAAATCAAAAAGTCCATTCCAAACGAAACTTTTTAGCTCCAGAGTAAAATAGTCAGAAAGCCAACTCACATCACAAACGAATCCTATGTTGTCATCCTATTACGGGTTCGGTTTCAATTTTAATTAACATTTTCATGTTTTGCGTTTTTTTGCAGAGCCAATTAACAGACCTTATTGTCCAGCTTGCAACTGTTGCAAGGTTGAGCCACCACCCCCATGTTGCTATTGTGCTTGCTCTGTCATCACCGATCACCCTGAAAATGCGACGCCGTAATCAAATATATACATATAGGAAGTTATTTATATGTGTGCCATGCAATAAAGCATTTTAAACATGTGCCAGTGTTTTGAACTATACACTACTTGTAATTTTTTCATAAGAGATGCAAGTTAAAAGTCATATGATGTTTTAATTTATTGATATAGTGTGTATTTGGTTTTGCTTATTTATGTTGTTGTGTTCGGATTTTTAATTTATTATTGAAAGAAAAACGAAAGAGAAATAAAATAAATAAATTTAGTGCTTTTTTCCCACAAATTTATGATGTTATGTTAATTGAATTTATAAGGGAAAAAGAAATGAAATAAAAGAAGAATAAAATTACTTGTACATATTTATTTTCTTATGATTTATTAAATAAAAAATAATAATTTTTAATAAACATCCATTTATTTTCTTACTTTTCGAATCCAGCCAATAGATAATAAACAAATAAAAATAAAAAGCAGAAGAAGCTTATTTACTTTAGTGGAAATATCAAATCAGTTGTATTATCAAAAAATAATTACAAATTAATACTAAATTTATAAATATTAATAATTAAAATCATAATTTTTTTTACCTATGTGTAATTGTTTTTTTTTTAAAAATTGCATTGGGGTGTAATTACCCTTTGCTTTAGTAATGACTCAATGTAAAAGCGATGGGCAAGCCCATTGACTGGGTGGGCCTAATCTTGGACGACGACTACAGAAAATGACAAGAGTAAAGCACAACTACTAATAAGTCTTTTTTTTTTTTTTTTTTTTTTTGTGGGTACATCGGAAGGTAAACTAATAGGTCTCAATACAAAATTTAAAATTTATTTACTCCTAAAACAAAATATATGTATCAATTATTTTTATATGTTTTTAATTATTATCAAAAAAATTTATTTTTAAAAAAAAAAATTAAAAACGTTGTTACATCCCACCACCATTAGACTTCAGTCAGACGATCATCGGAGATTCGTCGAAATGTTCAACATCACCGGAAAGTGGCTAAAATATCACCGGAAATTCGCTAGATCTGAACATCACCAGAAATCGTCGAAATGTCTAGAATGTTCACTAAACGTTAAGAATATCGCCGGAGACTTACCAGAATATCTAGAATATTACCCGGAAAAAGAAAAAAAAAGGAATAAATTGAGAAATTAAAGTGAAAAAATATAGAAAAATGTGCTAAATATTGATAAATTAAAAGAAGAAATAAAAAAAACTAACAATAACAAACAGCAACAATGGAAAAAATATATATGTTATTTTCAATTTTTGTAGAGTTTAAGAAAATAATTTTCAATATTGATCAAACTGAAAAATAAACTTTTAAACTATAAAATATTACAATTTCAAAGCATGATTCTATTAAGTATTTATCCTTATTAATATAATTGAAAAACATGTTATAAAATTGTAAAATTTTACAATTCTAAAGAATGATTCATTTCAGCCAAAAAAAAAAATTGAAGCTATAAAATTTTATAATTTTCGCCGTCTGTAATTAAAACTTGAAAACAATTTGTTCAGAATTTAAAATTTTTCTCCATTATAACAAGAAAATAGAAGTGTTTAGTACAGAAAAAGTATAAAAACTAAGAGATCGAAAAAAAGAGACAGATATAAAGAGATGCTTGTACTACAACAATTATTTTTTGGTCTAAATCTAGCTGGATCTAACATAGATCTACTCAAATTTGATGTAGATCAAAGTAGATCTACATCAGATTTGAATAGATATACTCATCTTCTTCATCAGAAACTCATCTCTTTCGTCGTCGGTGAGTATGCAGCAAGGAGTCGGTGCTCGATGGTTGCCCGTGAACCCCAATTAATAATAGTCACCGGTCACCAATGACTGTAGATTAAAAAGAGAAAGAAAAAAAGGACTTATGGGTAATTTACCCAAGAATCAAATGCATCAAGCCCAATCTATTAGCCATATGTGCCGAGAAATTTTATTTCCATACACTTAATTAGCTCAGTGTACATCTTTTCTCAATACACACACCTATTAATTTGATTATTAACTAATTTTCTCAATCCACATACTTAAAGTTACAATTACACCATTCATTCATAACCATTGTACGCACACCACTTTACCCTCATTTTCATACACTTTTGATTGACCCTACGTCCACATTTGTAGTTCCACCCATGCAAAAGCAAAAACCAAAGTCAGTGAAATTTTCTCCATTGAAGACCTCCATTGAAAACCTTTGTTGAAGGTAAGCCATTTTTCCATTTTATTATTACATTTATCATATTCGCATCTCTGTGCACTCCATTGACATAAAACCTTCAATTTGTTTCTTGTGTTTTATGGTTTGGGGCTTTCAGCTCTGGTTGTCCGAAATTATAGGTTTAATTTGGAACTTAATCACCAAATAAATGGTATGATTTCGACCAATTAGTTTTCAAAAAGATATAAAAATTTGACATCTGTTTACCGAAATTTATGACCACAAGCACAAGCACTCTTGTGAAATGGAAACTTTAGGCAGTGAGGTGAGTGAGTAACAGATGATCGAGTTAGTGAAATGTAGAACGAGTGTATCTGTGACTAGCTGTAGGAGTGCAAGGCAAGTGGGTCTCCTTTGCATTAGAAGTTTATAGTAGAGAAGTTGGTGAGCGAATATAGAAGCTTATTATCCCTTAGGTTTTTTTTAACTCAAAATGTGTATATTGAGATTTTTTTTGTTCTTAAAATATGTGTATAGAGAGTTTTTTCATATAATATTATGAATGTTGTTGGATGTCTATTATAATCATTTTTATTTATAAAATAATTGTTATTAAATTAATATTTCATTAAGTGTGCACCCTGAACTAACTAGATGTGTGGAAATAGAATTTCTCATATAAGCCTAATGGACAAGCCCATTGACCGAGTGGGCCTAACGGTGAATGACAAATGACAATAGTGGAATGCGTTAAGCCCAATCTAACAACCATATGGGCCTACCACGTGCACACAAAAAAAAGGTCCTTGGGCTGCAAAAAACATAGATTGAATGGGCCAATTGTGACACTACTCTTTCTGTTCAAATTATATTAAACCGATACCCAACCCATTTAGTTTAGAACAGCCCAACCAACTATCAGAGCCCAAACACCCGGCTCCTCAAACTGTCCTCTTATATTACAGCTTTTAGATTGGGCCCCTGTGGTTTTTTTTGATAGTTTTCAAAGTTTGGCTTAAGTTGGCTTCAAAAAATTGGCCCAGAGAGAGAAAGAAATGGGCATTGTTTGGTGGCACAATTATTCATTTCAAGACCAAAATGGTCCATTAAAAAAAAGTGAAATATTTTAAATTAAATGTTATTTCTTTAATCACTTTAAAAGGAGTGAATAAACTACTTGGAGTCTTCGGTAGATATTAGTTTTCAGCTTTGTACATAGGACACATAGTAGTAGCCTTATTACTGTTATCTTTTATTATTTTCATATATTTTTCCATACAATAATATTACATACCCAAAATCTTATCCAAAAGTTTATTTAGAATTATCAATATGTAGTTTAAATTCATTCAATTCATTAATTCACAATTAATTAAGTCAATCTCAACCACACAATTAATTTTCTAACAAAATTCTAGAACCCTTCTCTAGATTACTAAACTTACTGATTTTTATATGGGTTTTAGCTCTTGGGTGACTCATCCCTTAGATATTCTCCATTCAGATTGTATCTAAACTAGGTACAGCCCTTTCTATGACATATATCTGTTTTCTTTCTTCATAAATATTCCTTACCTTCCAAACAAGATATAGCTATGGAAGTGGGTCATGTTGTGGCCACAAAAATAGATTAGATCACAGAGGTATGCAATAATATCTCTCTTTCACCCATTAATCATAACGAGTCCCACTGATCTATTCTTGAGTCCTGCAAATTCACATTGAATATAAGTTCATCACCCCCTTGACAACAAAATAAGGTAGGGTTCCATCCATACAGCTATTTTAAGACTGTATTTAGATTTTAAATTTGTATAAAAAATTAAATTATTTAACGTTGTGTTTGATTAGAAGATTTAGAAATGAATTTGAAAATAAAAAGAGAAAGATAAATGAAATACGAATAAAATATATTTGTATTTTACTTAATTTTACACATTATTTCTCTTGTTATTTTTAAATCACTCTTCAAATTTTTTAACTAAACATAGCGTAAATATCACGCATGGTCAATGCTTTATCGAGTACCTAAACATCACTTCTAACTTTTTCATGGTGTTAATGGTTATCTATTTGTTGATCGAAAGGAGTTTGGCACTTTGGACAACCAGTACAGCTAAGCCTAGGACATTTCTCCCTTGACAATATGACAAACTTAGTGATCGGTTACGTTTTAGAATCTAGGTAGTCTTAATTTTTGTGGCCTAACTTGACTCAAATGATGTGACTTGATGATATTGTGATGATGTGAAAAATTGTTATTGTTATAATTTATTTATTTTTATATTAAATCTAGTTGTTTTTGATAATTATACAATTTCTTCAGATATTTTATCAATTTTTTTTCTAGTAATTTCTTTATCTTTAGCAGTACCGGTACTTAGTTGATTTTATAAAAATTTACGACATTGGTGACAATTTGTTATTAATATTGTTATTTGATTACAATCTAGCAACAGGTCTTGGATATAAAAATGGTGATAAAAACTCATAAAAAGGAAAAAGTTTTAATTGTTTTGATTATAGGTCCACTATGCTTCGAAAATAAGAACAGTATCTAACGATTTTGATCGGTACTTGAACGTAGTTGGCTTAGGGCTTAGAACAGTATCTACCTTCAACATTTCCTTCTTTAGATCAAACTCAGCACAGATTTGTTTCGTTTCCTACCTTATACCGTAACTTCAGAAACTGCATCTTTGGTTATGCAAGAGACCTAAGATCAACAATTTGATATATAGTAATAACACACCCTCTTCTAAAAATGAAAAACTTTCTTATTTATTGAACAAAGATTTACAAGGAAATGGATGTCTGTAGACTGCTGGATTGCTAGAATATTATTTGCTCTAAGAAAGCCTGAGAATTAGACTTCTTTCTTAGTATCAAGTATACTCTTAAGTAATCTGTCCCCTTTTTCTCTCCCTTAAGGCCTTCATATAGGCACCTTGTGGACTTCTAAATCCGGATTTTAACCTATTCTATACAATATTTTATATATTATAT